TCGTTGACACGCTTGTCCACGACCACGTTGAGATGGGAAAGTTGCTTGTTATTGCTGAGAGACGATCAGCAAAGGGCTGGGATGAAGTGGGGATCCAACTTCATCTCAGGGGGTACACAGAGTAGACAATTCTAAGGGGGCAGGGGTTAGAAGGGTATACCTCCTGACCGACCCACATCCTATCAAGAATAAGATGTACCCTATTCATGCTAGCAGCCACACTCCTAACGTCGTTGCCAAGCGACGAAAACCCAACCCCGATGGCAAACACCACCAGCGGGGGAAGAAATAAAAAACGCATGTGCCCGATTTGCCCGAAATAAATGGCACGCAAACCGGGCTAATAGGACATTAAATCGTTGACCGTGGAAACAATCTAGTTGTACATTGGCTCGAGTTTTTGCCGTTTATGGGATGCACCATCGGGGATAGGCAACAAGGACCTCTAAAGTACGAAGTGCATAGTAATCCGTGCCACATCCGTCGAAAGCAAACCCACCGTTGGACAAAAGCCATACCTGTACAACGGTTCTGATTCCACGGCTTGACGGTAAACTGCATAATCTGAGGCGGGGCAATGGGTCGGATGATCCGACACCTCGCTCAACGCCTTCGAGAGCACGTTTACTGCAAGATAGAAAACAACATCAACCCTGCTGCCGTTCTTGGTACCGGTGGAAAAGTCCTGTTCCCCCTCCCCTCCCCCGGACCTGCCGTTTGATCCGTTGGCGGTACTGCCATCATCTCCCTCTCCATCTCCCACTGCCTTCTTTGACTTGCGCCCGCGTTTTCCTCTCCTGGTCTTCCCGTCCGGCCGTGAGCGCTTGTCCTCCTCCTCCCCCTCCTTCTGCTCCCCCTCCTCATGTGGCGGCCCCGAGAGGTTCCCGCCCGCCTGTTCCGCTCCGCCCGCCTGCTCCTCGCCCTCGTCGTCGTCGCCCCCCCCGTCTTCCTTGAGTTGCTTCTTGGTGGCCTTCCAATGGGCGAAGTGTGGGCCTAGCTTGGGTCCCTCGCCCCACACCCTGCTGGACTCCTCCGCTCTCTCCTCCATCCTGTACAGGACCTTCTTGATCCTGCGCCCACTAGTTTTCATGACGATGTTCTGAACCGTCAGGAGGCCATATCCGAGGGCGTCGGTGTTCTCCTTGACGTTGTTCAGCTTGGCCGTGAGGTCCCCCATAGCCTCCTCGGCCTCCTGCTGGAATCTGACCATCTCCTCACGAAGCTTGACCTGCCCCAACTCCAGCTGCTCGGTGCCGGAGCGGAATATCTCGTCCATCACCGCCTTCTCCATGGCAGCAGGCATGTCGGCAGCTTGCTTCGTCAGCTGAAGGAGGTCTGCGCAGACGGAGGCGATGGTGGCAGGCGTGTCACCAAGCTCGTCCTTCACACGACCCAGAAGCCTAGCCTCGACGCCGTCGAGCTTCTCCTGCCACTTGCCGTCCCCGGCCTCACGGTTCTCCCGGACCGTCTGCCCGAAGGCGAGCAGCGCCTCTTTTTTGGAGGCCTCGACGGCCTTCTTCATCGACGCCTGCCGCTTCCCCTCCTGGAGCTGGCTCTCGAAAAACAGCTGAATATTTGTTTCAAGGAGTGAAGCCGTGGGCGGTAGCTTGCTCCTAGAGATAGATGAAGGCGCTGTCGTTGACACGCTTGTGCACCACCACGTTGAGATGGGAAAGTTGCTTGTTATTGCTGAGAGACGATCAGCAAGGGTCTGGGATGAAGTGG